ACGGCGTGAAAGATCGAGTGCCAGACCGGGTTTTCGACAGCCGCCCCGGCAAAGATCGGATACAGCGCGGCGGCGCCCAGCGACTGGCAGATCAGCGTAAAGACGACCACCGACCGCACGAAAGCGGCGGCCGAGACGTCATTGGGCAGGCTGAAGGTCGCGCGCAGGGTGTGCTCACGCAGGCGGCTCAACCGATTCTGGATGGCCAGCACCGCGAAGGAGCCGATGGTCATGTAGCCGAGACCGCCGATCTGGATCAGGGTCAGGATGACGATTTCCCCGAACAGCGTATAGGACGTGCCGGGATCGACCGACACCAGGCCGGTGGTCGAGACGGCCGAGGTCGCGACGAAGAGGTTGTCGATTGCCGCGACGGGGACGGCCTGCGCAGCCGGCAGCGACAAGGCCGCCCAGCCGATTAGCATGTAGGAGAGATAGCCGAACAGCAGCAGCTTGGCGGGCGGCATGCGCAAGATGGCAGCCCGCAGGGTCGCAGCGGATTGCAGGACCCTGTGCCGAGCGGTCCTGTCTTGCTTAGCTTCGGACATGCGTTCACCCGTGGCGTAGAACTCTGGGCCATCGGATCTACTATGCTTTTCCCCCACAGTCTGTGTCTTACGACCGCCGACGTCCCGCCACCTGAAAGAGGACGGCACCGCCGACGATCAACAGAAGGGCGACCGCAAAACCCTCGGGCAGGGTCTCGCCCAGGAACAGGACGGCCACGGGCGTGCCGACCGCCGCCGCCACGGAGCCGATCTGGCTGAGGTAGACCGGGCCGGCCGTCTTCTGAAGCCGGAAATAGGCGACGAACTGCAGCGCGAAGGCGGCGGTGTTCAGACCGGTCAAACCAAGCAGAAGACCGTGGTTCCAGAGCCGGGTTGCACCTGCGAGCCCCTCGTTGGCGACCGCGAAGGGTACGGTGAGGGTCGCGGCCAGCAGCAGCATGAGGGCCGCGAGCAGCAAAGGGGGCGCACCCTCTGGCCAGAAACGGGTGCGAAAGAGGTTGCCGCAGGCGAGGACGAGCGGGATGGCCGAGGCGACCAGGACCCAGCCGACGGCACCTTCCTCCGCAGAGAGGCCGTCGAATTTCGAGATCGCCAGCAGAAGCCCACCGCCCAGGGCAAGAGTCACGCCGAGAGCCCGCAGGGATGCGAAGCGTTCCATGCCGACCGCGAGCGCCAGGACGTAGGTGACCAGCAGCGGAAAGGCGAAGGCGAGCGAGATGTAACCGGCCCCCACGTGGGCGACCGAAAGATAGGCCATGGCGCTCGGCAGCGCTTGGAAGGCCCCGGCGCCGAGGCTGTAAAGCAGCAGACGGCGCCAGTTGCCTTTCGCCTGTCCGGCGACGGCCGCGGCCCCCATCAGGAGCAGGCCCGCGCTGCCCATCACCGAGGTCAGAAACCAGAGCATCGGCGCGCCGGCATCGGCCGCGAGCCGCGACAGGATGATCGTGACCGCCAGCAAGGACCCGGTGATCAGCAAGAGGGCCGGAGCCGTGACGCCGACGGCTGGGGTTCGGGCAGCGGACCCGGCTTTCGGAGGTGATCCGGCTGTCACCTGCGGCTGCGACCTCGACTTCGATTGGGGCATGGCTCGGCTTTTCGGGTAAAGTGGTTTGTCGATGGCAAGTATCTTTGTATCAACTATCTTAATGTCAAGATATATGGAGATGAGGTGACCCAAAGCGACGACAGCGACCGGGCCGCCCGCGCGGTTGCGCAATGGCGGCGGGAGTATCCGGACTGGGATCTCCGCCCGATGGAGGTCCTCGGCCGTCTGAGCGAAACCGCCGCGGTGATCGAGCGCGAGCACCTGGCACCGCTCTTCGCGGCCTTCGGACTGCAGCCCGGCGAGTTCGACGTTCTCGCCAGCCTGCGGCGCGCGGGCGCGCCCTACGAGATGACGCCGACCCAGCTGTTCGAGATCACGATGCTCTCGTCGGGCGGCATGACGGCACGGCTCGATCGCCTGGAGCGCGCGGGATTGGTCGCGCGCCGTCCGAACCCGGAAGACCGGCGGGGCGTGCTGGTCGGCCTGACCCCAAGCGGCCGCGAGCTGATCGAACGCGCGGTGCCGGAGCATCTGGCCAATCAGACACGGCTGACGGCAGGTCTGTCGGCGGAGGAACTGGGCGACCTCGCGGCTCTGCTGAGAAAACTGCTGCGGCACGCCCAGGCCGAGTAACGCCCGCAAGCACTGGCGGCCCGCTCGCGCAAGAAGCGGATGGAGCGCAGGCGACCGCCTGCCTACCCCTGAAGCCTCCTAAGGATTTCGGGGGACGAACGCATGCGGTTTGCCGGGAAGACAGTCATCGTAACGGGCGCCAGCAGCGGGATCGGCGCTGCCGCCGCGCGCCTGCTCGCGGCGGAGGGCGCGGCGCTGGTTCTGGGCGCCCGGCGAGATGCACTTCTGAACGACCTCGCCGGGGAGATCGCCCGCGAAGGCGGTCAGGCAGTTTGGCTGGCCGGCGACGTTCGGGAAGAGCGCTATGCGGAGGCTCTGGTGCAGCTGGCCGTTTCGACCTTCGGCGGTCTGGACGCCGCCTTCAACAATGCCGGCATCCTGGGCGACTTGGGGCCGGTGCCAAAGATGGCCGCTGCGACTTGGCGGGAGGTGATCGCGGTCAACCTGACCAGCGCCTTCTACGCAGCGAAATACCAGATCCCGATTCTCAAGGAACGCGGCGGCGGCGCGATCCTCTTCACCTCTTCCTTCGTCGGACACCGCATCGGGCTGCCCGGCATGGGCGCCTACGCCGCCAGCAAAGCCGGCCTGATCGGATTGACCCAGGTGCTCGCCGCCGAACACGGACCGGGGGGCGTCCGCGTCAACAGCCTGCTGCCGGGCGGAACCAAGACACCGATGGCCGGGGACGACGCGGAGTTCCATCAGTTCGTGGAAGGTCTTCACGCGCTCAAACGCATGGCGGACCCGGAGGAAGTCGCACGGACGGCGCTGTTCCTGCTCTCCGACAGCGCATCCTTCGTGACTGGAAGCGCGATGCTGGCCGACGGCGGCTGCTCGATTAACAAGACCTAGAGCGCGATCCCGCTCTAAAGCCCGAAGCGGCTCCAGAGGGCGCGCTCCTCGACGGCGGCCAGAGCGCCCTCGGCCAGGTCCTGCGGGCGCCAGTCGGCCAGGCCGAGAGCCGTTCCGCCGGCCGCCGCCCCCGTCAGCTGCGACAGTCCGAACCTGCGGCGCAGCCAACTCTTCTCGCCGTCGACCCGGCGAAGCTGCACCCGCTCGCCGTAGCGTTCGCGCAGAATGCCGCGCAGATCGCCCAGGCCGTCGATCAGGCCGACCTCCTGCGCCTTGCGTCCGGCGTAGATCTCGCCGGAGAAGAGCTCCTCCTCCTTGCCCTTCAGGCGGTCGCCGCGGCGGGCGCGCACGTAGGACTTGAAGGACTCGTGGATCTCGCCCTGCAGCCGCTTGAGACGGTCCACGTCTTTCTTGCGCGCGGGCTGAAAGGGGTCGAGCAGCGACTTGTTCTCTCCGGCGGTATAGAGCCGGCGCTCGACGCCGACCTTCTTGATCGCCTCCTGAAAACCGAAAGCCGAGGCGATCACGCCGATCGAGCCGACCAGCGAGCTTTCCTGGGCATAGATCTCGTCGGCGGCGCAGGCCAGCCAGTAGCCGCCCGAGGCGGCGACGTCCTCGCAGAAGGCGTAGACCTTGACGTCCTTCTCCTCGGCCAGGTCGCGGATGCGCTTGGCGATCAGGGCCGACTGGGCCGCGGCTCCGCCCGGCGAGTTGATCGCCAGCGCCACGGCCTTGAGCCGCGGCTGCTTGAAGGCCCGGTTGATCGGCCCGGCCAGTTCGGCGAGGCTGAGGCCCCGGCGCAGCGCCGAACCGACGCCGATCGTGCCGGACAGGCGGATGACCGAAACCACCGGCGGCGGATTACGGTAGTTCTCGTGCGGGATCCAACGGAACAGCTTGGCGATATCCATGGGCCTTTACATGACAGAGCCAGCCGGAAAATCCAGAGGAAAAGCGGTCGCAGGTATATGAGGCGGGGGCAGTTCGCCGCGGTTTTCCGATGACCCGCGCCGGATGATCGAACCGCCAAGCTTCGCCTCTACCGGTGACTACGTCGCTCGTCTGGACGACGGCGACTTCTGGACGCCCTACCTGACCGAGATCTTCGGGCGCCATCAGGAGTTCGGAGATCCGGACACGACGGTCGCCGGCCGGAACGCCACCTACCCGACATTTCTCTGCGGCGATCTGGTGGTGAAGCTGTTCGGCGGCTTTCACGCCTGGCGCCAGGCGCACGCGGCGGAACGGGCAGCCTACGGCCGGCTCGCGGGCGCCCCGGAGACTGCCGGCCGGATCGCCGCGCCACGGCTGCTGGGCGAAGGGCGGCTGTTCGAGGCGGACAGCGCGCCCTGGCCGTATCTCATCACCAGCCGCATGCCGGGGATTGCCGCGTCGCGGGCCGAACTCACGGCCGATCAGCGTCTGGCGCTTGCGGTCGAACTGGGGCGACAGGTCCGCCGTCTGCACGCCCTGGCGCCGAGCGGTGCCGCAGAACCCAGCGATTGGCCGGCTTTCGATCTGACCGCCGGATTGGCACAAAGCTCCCTGCCGGCGCACCTGATCGCGCAGGCCGAGGCCTTCCTGGCCGAGCTGTCGGATTTCGAGCCGGTCCTCACCCATGGGGACCTGACGGCCAGCCACGTCTTCGTTCGGGAGGGGCGTTTCGTCGGCATCATCGACTGGGGCGACGCCCTGGCGGCGGACCGCCACATCGAGCTGATCCAGCCCTACCGCGACCTGTTCGGCTGCGACAAGGCGCTGTTCCGCGCCTTTCTGGAGGCCAGCGACTGGCCCGTCGGCAGAGACTTCGACCGGAAAACGCTAGGCCTCGCACTGGTCCGGCAGGCCGTCGGCGCCGCACAGCACCACACGATGGATGTCTTCGAGCCCATCGCCGAACGGGTCCCGCTCGCGGAGATCGCGACGCTCGACGACCTGGCGTGCGAGCTGTTCGCGCTCTAAGCCGCCTCCTCGAACCCCGTCAGGACGTTGACGGCGTTGACGCCGATCTGCTCGACGGCGTAGCCGCCCTCCATGACGAAGAGCGTAGGCAGGCCGAGGCCGGCGATGGTCCGGCCGATCTGCAGGTAGTCGTCGCCTTCCAGCGTGAAGTGGCTGATCGGGTCGTCCTTGTAGGTATCCACGCCGAGGGAAATCACCAGCGCCTCCGCGCCGAAGGCGCCGATCCGCCGGCAGGCCTCCTCCAGGGCGCCCGACCAGCGCTCGAAGCCGGTGCCCCACTCCAGCGGGAAGTTGGCGTTGGTGCCCTCGCCCGCGCCCTCCCCGGTTTCGTCCTCGTAGCCCAGGAAGAAGGGAAACTCCTGCTTCGGGTGACCGTGCAGCGAGGCGAAGAAGACGTCGGGCCGATCATAGAAGATCGACTGGGTGCCGTTGCCGTGGTGATAGTCCACGTCCAGGATCGCGACCTTGGCCGCCCCCTGATCGCGCAGCCACTGGGCCGCCACGGCGGCGTTGTTCAGGAAGCAGTAGCCGCCGTAGTAGTCGCCCGCCGCGTGGTGGCCCGGCGGCCGGCAGAGCGCGAAGACGCCGCGCGCGCCCTCCTTCACCCGGGCCGCGCCGGTCAGCGCCACGTTGGCCGAGGCACGGGCGGCCCGCCAGGTGCCGGACATGATCGGCGTGCCGGCATCGAAGGAGAAGTAGCTGAGCTTGCCGTCGATGCTTTCCGGCTCGCGCGCCCGCATGCCGCGGACCTGCCAGTTGAGCGGCAGGGCGTCGTGCTCGCGGCCGCTCTTGACCCAGTCGCCCCAGGCCGCCGCCAGGAACGAGAGGTAGCGCGCATCGTGCACCGCCTCCAGCGGTCCCAGACCAAAGTCCTGGGGCTCCAGAATGTCGCCCAGTCCGACGGCACGGACCCGTTCCAGCACCATCTCGGCGCGGCGCGGCATCTCGAAGGGCGGCAGGAGCTGGCCGTCGATCAGCTCGGCCTTGCCGTCCTGGTAGCGGTGATCGTCGCTGTAGATGGTCAGCATCGTCTCTTTCGATTCAGGTTGGGGCGATTCAGGTTGGGGGCGGTTCAGGTTCGGGGGGTCGGCTGGCTCACGGTCGCTCGTGGCCAAGAGTGACGTGCGCGGCGTTCCAGGCGCCGGGCCAGACCTCGGCGGCCCCGGCGCGCAGGCGTCGGATTTCGCCGAAGGGGATGTCGCGCGCGATCAGCAGCGGCCCCTCGTCGTCGGCGGAGTCGGCTGCCGGAATCTCGTCGTGCAGGCCGACGAATCCCAGGCTCTCCTCGCAGGGCAGAAAAACGCTGCAGCCGGAGGTGTTGGTCTCGCGGGGCTTGTTGGTCGAGGCCGCGCCGATCACGCCGACGGCGGCCACGGCGGCCTGCAGTTCCACGGCCCGCGCCTTGGCACAGCCGAAGACGCGCGCATAGCCGGAGAGCTTCGCCGTCATCGAGGGAACCAGGATCAGATCGGGACGCTCCGGCGCGAGCAGCGCGGCCAGGGCCGGCAGCTCGATGTCGAGACAGATCAGCGTCGCCAGCTTCAGGCCCTTCCAGGTGACGACCTGCAGGCGCTCGCCGGGGCGGAGGTTCCAGGCCTCGGGATCCTTCTCGCCCGGCGTGAGACAGAGCTTGTCCTGCCGGATCACCCGCCCGTCGGGCAGCAGGAGGTGCGCCCGGTTGGCATAGGGCGAGCCCGCGTCGGGGGCAGGGTCCAGCGCCACCGGCAGGGTTCCCGCCAGCAAGGCCACGCCGTGCCTGGCCGGCAGCGGCGCGATGGCCGCCAGCGCCGCCTCGGCCTGCGCGGCCATCCAGGGAATCTCCTCGGCCGGCCCGATCCCCTCGGGCGCGAAGGAGAGCCACTGCTCCGACATGTATTCGGGCAGCAGCAGCAGCTCGGCCCCCTCGGCCTTGGCGCGCGTCATCTGTGCCTCGACCGCCGCTGCCCAGGCGTCGATGCCGTTCAAGGGCCTGGCGAGATTCACCGCCCAGAGTGCGATCGTCAGCTTGTCCGGTACGTCTTCGCTCACTCGGCATTCCCCTTGGGAAACGAAAGCTGGTGCTGAAGAAGCTGGGGCAAACGGAAGACGGCGTCCGGACGTCGCCACGGACGTCCGGACGCCACCTTCATTTGAGACAGCCGGCTAGGACTTCAAGCGCGTCCAGACCCGGTTGCGCAGCTCGCGCGCCTGCACCGAGCAATCGATACTCGGACGCAGCCTGTCCGCGAACTCCGCCGGCATGTTGACGGCCGGATTGGCCTTGAGCGCATCGTCGAGATAGTCGGACGATCCCTCGATGGCGTTCATGTAGCCGGTGAAGTTGGAGGCCACGGCCGCGTTCTCCGGCGCCAGCATCCAGTTGACGAAGGTCTTCGCGTTCTCGGCGTTGGGCGCATCCGTCGGGATCATGAAGTTGTCGGTCCAGAAGGTGATGCCTTCCTTCGGATAGATATAGACGGCGGACGAAAGCTCGGAGGAGGTCCGGTGGGATGCACCGTTCCACTGATGGTGCATGATCACCTCGCCCGAGATCATACGGTCGATGGTGCCATCGGACTGATACATCTGCACATGCGGCTTCTGCGCCTCCAGCAGATCCAGGATCGCCTGTGCCTCCTCGGGCGACTCCGTGCACTTGTTGAAGCCCAGGTAGTAGGCGGCGGCGTTGTAGACCTCGACCTCGTCGTTCAGCATGGCGATCTGGCCCTGCAGTTCCGGACGGGGCTCGAAAACCTCCTTCCAGCTTTCCTCCAGTTCGCCCTCGATCCGCGCCGAATCGTAAGTCACGCCGGTGGTGCCCCACATGTAGGGCGCGGAGTAAAGCCGCTCGGGATCGAAGAAGGGCGCGTCGTGCGGCGCCACGACTTTCGCGCCGTTGGGCATTTCGAGCGTGTCGATCCGCTGAGCCAGACCTTCCTCGATCAGAATGGCGACCATGTAGCCGGACGGCACGATGACGTCGTAGCCGCCGGCCCCCGCCTGCAGCTTGGCCAACATGGTCTCGTTCGAGTCGTAGACATCGAGCGTGACGGCGATGCCCGTCTCCTCCTCGAACTTGGTCAGCAGCTCGGGCGGAAAGTAGTTGGACCAGTTGTAGAGGAACAGCTCGCCCTCGGCCTTGGCGGCGGTGGCGCCGGCAAGCAAGGCGACCGCCGAGGCGGCTGCGATCAGGTGTCGTTTCATGGGTCTTTCGCACTCCCTGTTGTCGATTTGCTTCCCAACCAGCCCCGGCGCGATGGTCGCGCCGGCGGCAGAACGGCGTCAACGGCGCAGCCTTCCGACCAGGAAGGAGAGCGTGACGAAGACGATGGAGACCACCAGCATCAGCGCGGAGATGGCATTCACCTCCGGCGTGATGCCGATCCGGATCATGCCGAAGATGTAGACCGGCAGCGTGGTCGCGCCGGGCCCTGCCACGAAGTAGGTGATGGTGAAGGTATCGAGGGAGATGATGAAGGACAGCATGGCGCCCGAGAGGATGCCCGGCCAGAGCAACGGCAGGGTGACCCGCCGGAAGGCCTGGATCTCGTTGGCATAGAGATCGGCGGCCGCCTCCGGCAATCCGGGGTCCAGGCCCTGCAGGCGTGCGCGGATCGGCAGGTAGGCGAAGGGAATGCAGAAGACGGTGTGGGCGATGATCACCGTCGTCAGGCCGAGCTGTATCCCCAGAGCCACGAAGAACAGCAGCGTCGCGACCGCCGTCACGATCTCCGGAATGATCAGGGGAAAGGCGATCACCGCAGTGACGCCGTCCTCGCCGCGAAAGCGGTGACGCGCCATGGCCAGAGCGGCCAGCAGCCCGACCGAGGTGGCGATCAGGGTCGCCGTCGTCGCCACGATCAGGGAGTTGCCTGCCGCCGCCAGGATGTCGTCGTTGCGCAGCACGACGCCGTACCAGTCCAGCGAGAAGCCGGTCCAGATCGTCGCCTGGCGGTTCTCATTGAAGGAAAAGACGATCAACACGAAGATCGGCAGGTAGAGATAGGCGAAAAAGAAGGCCGCACCCGGCGCGATGCCGGGGAATCTCCAGAGCGGGTTCTTGGCGCGGCTCAGCATCGCTCGGCGCCCCCTACCCGGTCCCCGGCGGACGGCGAAAGCGCATCAGGTAGAGCGTCATCGCCAGCAGCACGATGGAGAGCAGCGCGAAGGCCAGGGCCGCGCCCAGGGGCCAGTTGCGCGCCGCGCCGAACTGGCTCTGGATCAGGTTGCCGATCATCATCGACTTGGAGCCGCCGAGCAGCTCGGGCGTGATGAAGGCCCCCAGCGAGGGAACGAAGACCAGGATGCAGCCCGCCGCGATGCCGGGCAGGGCCAAGGGGACGATCACCCGCTGAAAGGCGCGGCGCTTGTTGGCACCCAGGTCGAACGCCGCCTCGACCAGCCGCAGATCCAGCTTCTCCAGGCTGGCGTAGATCGGCAGCACCATGAAGGGCAGGAAGGAATAGACCAGCCCAAGCGTGATCGCGAAGTTGGTGTAGAGCAGCGTGATGGGCGCGTCGATCAGGCCCAGGTCCATCAGGCTCTCGTTGACCAGACCGTTGCTGCGCAGCAGCAGGATCCAGGCGTAGTTGCGCACCAAGAGGTTCGTCCAGAAGGGGATGGTCACCAGGAAGATCAGCAGGTTGCGATACTTGGCGGGCTGCAGCGCCATGTAGAAGGCGGCGGGAAAGCCGATCGCCAGGCAGGCCGCGGTGGTGACGAAGGAGAGGGTAAAGGAGCGGGCGAAGATCTGCAGGTAATCGGGATTGATCGCCAGATCGCCCAGCAGGTTCTCCTCGAACAGAAAAGCGACGTAGGCGTCGAACGTGTGCACGCCCCACTGCACGCCGCCGTTGACGCCGCGCTCGAGCAGCGAGACGTAGGCCATCAGCCCGATCGGCAGCAGCATGAAGATGCCGATGATCAGCAAGGCCGGCGCGATCAGCGCGATCAGGCGCGCCCGCCGGCTTCGGCGCAGCAGGTTCGCGACCGCGGCCAACGGAGAGAAAGAGGGCTGGGGAAGAGATCCCGCGGAGGACCCGGCGGGAGAGGACGGAGAGGAGCTGGGCGGTACGGCCATCAGTCGACCAGCACCTGCACCGCCTGGGGGGCGACCCGCACGCCGACCCGCGCACCGACCGCGAAGTCGGCCTGCGCACCCTGGCGATTCTGGACGCGGACCTGAAAGGCGCCAGGGACCCCATCGAGCTCCAGGACATAGAGGGTGTCGGTGCCGAAGTAGACGACCTGGGTCACACGGCCCATCAAACCGCTGCCGTCGCCCGAGCCAGCATCCCCCGGCGCGCCCCCGTCGGCCAACAGGTCGACGCGCTCCGGCCTCACCGCCAGTGTCACCTCGGCCCCCTCGGCGTGATCGTGGGGGTCGCGGCCCGACAGCAGCGCGCCGCCCGGCACCCGGTAGCTTGCGCCGCGCAGCGCGACCTGGGCCGGCAGGAAGTTGGTCTCGCCGATAAAGTCTGCGACGAAGCGGTTGATCGGCCGCTCGTAGATCTCGTCCGGCCCACCCGCCTGCTGCACTCTGCCGTCGGACATCACCGCGATGCGGTCCGACATGGTCAGCGCCTCTTCCTGATCGTGGGTGACGAAGACGAAGGTGATCCCGGTTTCGCGCTGCAGGCGCTTCAGCTCGACCTGCATCTCCTTGCGCAGCTTGAAGTCCAAGGCCGAGAGGGGCTCGTCGAGCAGCAGCACGCGGGGAGCGTTGGCCAAGGCGCGCGCCAGAGCGACGCGCTGCTGCTGACCGCCCGACAGCTGGCCGGGCCGGCGGTCGCCGAGGCTCTCCATCTGGACCAACGCGAGCATCTCCGTCACGCGGCGGGCGATGCGCGCGCGCTCCCAGCCTTGCATCTCCAGGCCGAAGGCGACGTTCTGCGCCACGGTCATGTGGGGAAAGAGCGCGTAGGACTGGAACACGGTGTTGACCGGTCGCTTGAAGGGCGGCCGAGCGGCGATGTCGTCGCCGTCCAGAAAGATCTGGCCCTCACTCGGCTGCTCGAACCCGGCGATGAGCCGGAGCAGCGTGGTCTTGCCGCAGCCCGAGGGGCCCAGCAGCGTAAAGAACTCGTTCGGTGCGATCGTCAGCGAGACCCGGTCGAGCGCGCGCACCTGGTCGGAGCCGCCGCCGAAGACCTTCGTCAGGTCGCGCACGTCAATCGCTGCGACCGCTCCGTCGCGCATACCCAGCCGCTGCTCCCGCTGACGCTTCTTTGTTTCTGGGACTTTCCGTCCCTGGAAACGCCTATCCCTGTGAACTTCGTATATTTGTCATCGAGTATTTCAGGGAACTCGCCAGGCGGGCAAAGGTTTTTTGCGGCGCGGCATCGGGCACGCGTCGGAACCGCATCTTCTCCGCGAGGAGACCTCTGGCGGCCGCCTTTCAGCGATGAAATCCGCCTTCCGTTTTTGTGCGCTCGATTGGTGCGACCGGCACTCCCAGATGCAACGCCATGTTGAATAGGGAAGAGAGGGCCCGAAGCCCCGAGGATCCGCGCTTCCACCGTCGCACAACGATCGCCGCACAAAGATCGCCGCACAAAGATCGCCGCACAACAATCGGCGAGGCCGATCCGTTCGAGACCCTCGAGCCGATCGCGACCGAGCCAATCGAAATCAGGGAGAGTCTCGAGGATGCCGATGCGCTTGAGAGTGAACGGAACCGAAAGAGAAACCACGGCGGCGCCCGACAAACCCCTCCTGTGGGTCTTGCGCGACGAGCTCCGCCTCACCGGCACGAAGTACGGATGCGGTGTCGCCCAGTGTGGCGCTTGCACGGTTTTGGTGGACGGCGTGGCGCAGCGATCCTGCGTGACTCCGGTCGGCAACGCAGCAGACGCGGAAATCACGACCATCGAGGGCGTCAGCGGCCCCGAAGCCGCGGCGGTGCAGGCGGCCTGGACCGAGCTTGAGGTGCCGCAGTGCGGCTACTGTCAGTCGGGACAGGTCATGACGGCAACGGCGCTGTTGCGTGACGTTCCGAACCCTTCGGACGATCAAATTCTGCTCGCCATGGACGGCAATCTCTGCCGTTGCGCCACCTACACCCGTATCCGGGCCGCCGTGCGCAAGGCAGCCGCCAGTCTGGAGATCTGACCCATGACGCCGTTGCAAGCGACGCGCCGCAGCTTTCTTGCGGGAGCCGCCAGTCTTGTCATCGCTGCCACCCTCCCGCGTCCGGCCAGAGCGGACAGTGCGGGCCAGGTGCTGACGCCGAACGCCTTCGTGCGCGTGGCCCCCGACAGCACGGTAACGGTGCTCGTGAAACACAGCGAATTCGGCCAAGGCACCTGGACCGGACTGACGACGATGGTGGCCGAGGAGCTGGATGCCGACTGGAGCCAGATGCGGGCCGAGAACGCGCCGGCGAACGTGGAGCTCTACGCCAGCTCGATCTTCGGGGTTCAGGGTACGGGTGGCTCGACGGCAACCCCCGACTCCTGGCTGCCGATGCGCCAAGCGGGGGCGGCAGCCAGGGCGATGATCGTGCAGGCTGCCGCGCGCACCTGGGGCGTCCCCGCCGACGATATCGCCGTCAGGGCCGGCGTGGTGTCGCATGCCGCAAGCGGCCGGTCGGCAAGCTTCGGAGACTTGGTGCAGGAGGCGACCCGAAGCGTGCCGCCGAACGAGCCTCGGCTAAAGACCCCCGACCGCTTCGTCCTGATCGGCCGGAACGTGCCGCGGATCGATGCGCCGGAAAAGTCGAACGGAACGGCCCGGTACGGAATCGATCTCTTCGAAGACGGACTGCTGACCGTGGCGGTCGCCCGCCCGCCCCGTTTCGGCGCCACCCTGCTGTCGTTCGATCCGTCATCGGCCCTGGCGATGCCGGGTGTTCGGAGGGTAGAGCGGATCCCCTCGGGCGTTGCCGTCTACGCGGACGACACTTGGGCAGCCTTTCAAGGCCGAGATGCCTTGGAGACCGTGTGGGACGACAGCAACGCGGAGACACGGTCGTCCGATGAGATGATGCGTGTCTGGGCGCAGGCGGCGCGGTCCGGCGGAACGGTGGCGGAAGACCGCGGTGACGTAGCGGCCGCCCTGAACGAAGCGGCAGAGGTCCTGGAGGCCGAGTATCACTTCCCGTTCCTCGCTCACGCCGCCCTGGAGCCGCTGAACGGTGTGATTTCGCTTTCCGAGGACCGTGCGGAGTTCTGGATGGGCTCGCAATGGCAGACGTCCGACCAGAACGCGGCCGCCGAAGTGCTTGGACTGACCCCTGACCAGGTCGCCATCAACACCATGCTGACCGGCGGCTCCTTCGGCCGGCGTACCACGCAGGACAACCACTTCGCCGCCGAACTGTCCCACGTGGCACGGGCCGTGGGAACGGGCAGCTACAAGCTGATCTGGAGCCGAGAGGACGAGATGCGCGGCGGCTACTACCGTCCGCTCACGGCGCACTATCTGCAGGGCGGGCTGAATGCGAAGGGCGAGATCGTCGCCTGGCGGAACAACGTTGCGACACAGTCTCTGCTGGCCGGCTCCGCCTTCGAGCAGTTCGTTGTCGATGGGATCGACGGAAGTTCCATCGAGGGGTCGCGGGATCTGCCCTACGCCCTGCCGAATTCGCAGGTCACGCTCGCGACGATGGAGAGCTCCGTTCCCGTCCTGTGGTGGCGTGCGGTCGGGCACACCCACACGGCCTACGCCACCGAGACGTTCCTGGACGAGTTGCTTGAACGCGGCGGCAAGGATCGGGTGCAGGGCCGGTTGGATCTTCTGCTGCAGGACCGGACACGCGATAGGGGGGTTCTGAAACGAGTCGCCGAAATCGCCGGCTGGCAGGGCCCCGACGCGGGCAACGGACTCGCCCGCGGTGTCGCGCTGCACAAGAGCTTCAACAGCTACGTCGCAATGATCGCCGATGTCTCGGACGAGGGCGGACAGCCGCGTGTCCATCGGGTCTGGGTGGCCGTCGACTGCGGTATCGCAGTCAATCCAGCGATTATTGAGGCCCAGATTTCAGGCGGTCTGGGATTCGGCCTTTCAGCCGCGCTGTTCGAGGAGGTCAGACTGCTCGACGGCGGTGAAGTCGAGACGTCGAACTATGACCGCTACCGCATTCTGCGTCAGTCCGAGATGCCCGAAGTCACGGTTTCGATCGTCGAAAGCATGGAGAGCCCCACGGGTATCGGGGAACCTGGAACTCCGCCGGTCGCACCGGCCGTGGGGAACGCTTGGCGCGCCTTGACCGGACAGACACCTCGCAGACTTCCTTTCCTGCGGGCTTGAGGCGGTACCGCGCCGGCGCGCGCGACGCAGGCGTCCGATCCGGCAAGCCCGTCGGAGATTGCAATCGCAGGCCCTCCCCGCACCGGGAACCCGGGCGCCCCGGCGCGGGCAAACCTCATCCGGCCCCCTGAAACGGCGTCCCGACGCCGCTCCGATTTACCCATGACGCTGCCTGCAGGCATCCTTCATAATCCAATGAAAATGAAGGGTCCGTTTCATGGGTAAGACGAACTTCTCGTGGGATGATCTTCAGCTGTTTCTCTTCGTGGCGCGCGGCCAAGGCTTGGCCGAGGCCAGCAGGAAGACAGGCGTCAGCGCGCCAACCTTGAGTCGGCGAATGGCACGGCTGGAACAGGCGCTGGGCAACAAGCTGTTTCGACGGCATGCCCGGGGCTACGATCTGACACCCAGAGGGCAAACGCTGTTCGGTCACGCCGAGGACATTGAACGGAAGGTGTTGGAGGCGGAAGACGCCAGTCTCGAAAAGCCCGACAAGGAGGTGGTTCGCATCTCGGCCGGCAGCTGGATGTCGCTTTATCTCACGGAGAACATGACGGCGCTTCAGCAGCCTGACGATCCTTTTCGCATCGCCCTGATCTCGGCGGAACATCGCCTGGACATCGCACGGCGAGAGGCCGTGATCGGCCTGCGGAATCAGAAACCGACCGGGCCCTCCCTGGCCGTCCGCAAGCTGGGGCACTGCAGCTTCGCCGCCTACGCCGCGCCAGGCGGCCGAAACGGCTGGATCGGAGTTTGCGTAGACACGCGTTCGGCCCGCTGGACACGCGCCCACTTCTCCGACGACATCCTTGTCGAGGTCAGCGCTCCGCGAAACGCTCTCGATCTGGCTCGGTCGGGACATGGCCGCGTGGTGCTGCCCTGCTTCATCGGAGATCGCGAAACCGGGCTCGAGCGCGTCGCGGGTCCTATCGCGGAGCTTGAGGGCGAGGTCTGGCTGGTCCTGAACGATGGCGAGCGCCGCAGAGCCAGTTCCCGCAACGTCATTGACCGGCTCGTTGCCTTGCTAGCGAATGACAGGCAGCGCTTTCTGGGAAACGCCGGACAGGAACCGGCCGTCCGGCGCGCCCATACCTAACTCATTTTAATGTAAAATTAGCCCGGCCTGGTCTGGACAGGTTTGTCCTCTTGGCCGTCAGAGTCCGCTTGGGAGTTCGGATCCAAGCCGGGCAGGCATCGGTCCCAGCCGCTCGCAGTGCCGGCGATCCCGCGTCAGGCGATCCTGCTTTAGAGAAGCAGTTCGGCAGCGCCCCGCAGCACGGCGTCCGCCTCGGCGGTGAAACCTCCGTCAGAGCCGTGAAGCAACAGCCCCGGCAGCAGAGTGGTCCCGGCACGGCTGCCGCGCGTCGCCCGGATCAGGATACGCTTGGCCGGCTTACCGGCCTGCGGCCAAAGCGGCAACACGCGAAGATCGCCGGCGAAGCCGTCCAGACCGGCCAGAATGGCATTCAGCCGCTCGGCACGATGGATCAGCGTCACGGTTCCTCCCTGCTTCAGCCGCCGCAGGCCGAGCTCAAGCCAGACGGCCAGCGGTGCGCGGCCTTCCCTGTTGGCCAGATCCTTGCTGGCCAGTGGGGAAGCCTCGACTGCGGAGGGTTGAAACGGAGGGTTGAGCAGGACCCTGTCGTAGCCGCTGCCCAGGGTTTTCGGCGGTGCGGCGACGTCGCCTTCCACTACGGTCAGACCGCCGGCGGCAGAGCCAGGCGCCGAACCAGCCGACAAGCCGTTGACCTCGGCGTTGTGCCGAGCCAGCGCCGCCAGACCCGGCTGGAGTTCGAGGCCCGTCACCGCAAGATCGGGCTGACGCGTCAGCAGACAAAGCGCCGCGGCGCCGACACCGCAGCCAAGCTCCAGCACCCGGTCGCCGGGCCGCGCCGGCACGGCGGCCGCCAGCAAAACCGGGTCGATCGCCGCGCGGTAGCCCGCCAGCG